GCCAATCCTTGGCATTTTATATTTTACAATTTTTTCCAAAATCTGAAGAATGTAAAATTGTTTTTCACTGATTATTAGTGATCATTCAAGGTTCTCATAAACCTTTATTTGTATCCTATTTGATCTATATTTATATTTTTCTCAGAATTTCTGTTTCTGAGGCCCCTGTGTGTAGTGCTTTGGGCTATACACTGCAAAGCTTCTAGGGGGCATTGTTCACATAGACCACGATGAGAATGGTGCACTAGGGTGCTGCAACAAGGTGGCTCTCAGGCAGAGGTTGCCTTCCTACCTCTCTATACAAAACTGTGCTGAGATCAGGATTTGGCCTATAGTTACCCCGAAATAAACTACCCTAGAAAAGTGGTAGTTTTACTCATATTTCAGTAACATTGCTTTGCTTCCAATATCTCATGAGGAAGTAAAATAGTTTAATGGCTTCACTTGACATTATTTTTATTGTATCTGCTTTTACAGTTTTATTGTTTTCTGCAAGTCACATCATCAGGCAATGTGCTTGTCTATATGATGTATTATGACCTCTGGCTTCTTAATTCTGTAACATGGGACTCCCAATACTGAGTTCATATATTATAATGGAAGACATACATTGAGGTAGGATGATATTTGAGGCCAGGTAAAGGATCCTACCCAACTAATTGTGTACTTGAATTTGTCAAGACAAAGGCTTTCATTTCACAAAAAGAATTATTCTTGTGAACCTTAATCCTTTATATTTGTACAGTAGTTTTAGTTTGCAAAGGATATTCACATATATTATGCCTTTTGACTTTCGTCAAAATCCTCTGAGTTAAGTTGAATATATATTGTTTCTGAGCCGGAAAGATCTTAATAAGCTACTCAAGGCCATAGAGCTAATGTGGCAGGCAAAATCTGATTTTAATGGGCAGTGGTGTGCCTCTCTGTAAAACCAAATATTCCAATTCATTTGCTGCTGAATGCAACCATGGGAAACCATGCTATCCAATGAGAAATAAAAATGGAATTTGGCTAAGAATTTGCTTCATAACATATTTCTTTTCTCTGTCATAGACATAGCATCCCATCTTTTGCAATTCTAACTCTGCTCTGGAGTTCTGCTTCCCAGAATACGTACGCTAATACATTTGGTTTCAGCTACATTAAATTACTAAAATATAATGAGTTAAAGATAGTGCTAGTAACGGGTCAAATCAGGACTAAAATCCAGGGCAGGCATATGACTCTAATATGCCACACTCTTTGATAACACTCTTAAGGAGAATAGTGGACTAAATAACTTGGAAGATGATGAAAGATTCAATAATGGACAAACAGGTTTGTTCCTCACTCTTATTGACCTTTTGGCCTAGTGATTGTAAACATCAACCTAAATGTCCAAAGACTGATATTTTTTCAACTTGATAAACCATATGAAACTGGTGTTTGATTACTCTCTTTTCTTAAAAACTCTTTCTTCATTCCAGTTACCTATACTTCTTTTGTTTGTTTTTTTCTACTGCCTATTGAACACCTCTACTTGGATATGCAATTGGCATTAAACCTAACATGTTCAGTGTGAAACTTCTGATCTTCTCTTCCAGTCTTGCTCCCCTACAGTCTTCCTTCCCTTGGTTTTTGGTAGCTCTTTCCCATCAATTGCCGAGGCCCCAAATCTCGGAGTCAACTTTGACTCCATTTTTAATTTCACACTTCATATCCAGTTAATGAGCAAAACCTGTTTGCTCTATTTTAAAGTAATATCCAGGTTTAACAACTTTTCACTACCCACTGCTATTACTTGTCAGGATTATTGTAATAACCTCTATCTGAACTCTGTGCTTCTTTTCTTTCTCTCTTATAAGTCATTCTCAATACAATACGTAAAATGATCCTATTACATCATAATTTAGATCTTGTGTCTTCTCTGCTCAATATCTGACAATATCTTTCTGATTTACTAAGAGAAAAATGAAGTCCTTACAATGGTCCTCCATGCCCTATATAGTTCAGATTCCTCTTCCTTTCATGTCTTAATTTCGTATTACTGTTTTTAGCTTAATCCATTACAGTTACACTGAACTCATTGGCCAAGGCTCCATGTGAGATTTAAACCTGTAGAGTGAGAATTCTGGTGCATCTGCTCAATTTGAGGAGAATTTAAATTAATCTGACAACCATCTTAGTTTCTCAACTATCATGCTAATGCCTGAGAGTCCATGCAGAGCTACAATCCTTTGTGCTTGTCCCTTTACTATGAAAATTGCCCAGGGAGAGGCTATAATTATTTTTGAATAACCAGTGTACACATTTCATCACTTGCTTCCTAATAGGTACTTTTGACTGTAATCAAAAACAATAATGAATCTTTCACTCTTCCTCCTTGTGAGGAACACAGACACCGCAGGCTTGTAGAGTGCTTCATAGTTGGTTATTTTATCATTCAGTCCTTCATTACAGTATGTCCCCTTTTTCTGGATGAGTAAAATTAAATAATTTCTCCTTGAATCCTCTCCTATTACCAGCTTTGATAATGGGGGAACTCAGTTTGAGAAAAATAGGGCATTCTAGTAGGTGGAGTCACTCAAATATTTGATAGATGGCCCAGACGCACCACTGTTCTTCAAGAACAGAGTGAGTCAGATCCTATCTCAAGTCATCTTCTCTTCCAAGCATGAAAATCTTGAAATAACAGTTAGAAAAACAAGCCAAAAATCTAAGTTTTTATTTTAAAAAAACAACAACAATTTATTGAAAAAGAATAATGCTCTATACAAATTTCCATTACAAAATCCCAAATATCCATTGGGTTTGTTTCCAGGTACAGTAGCAGAATACAAAAATATCAAAATGGACTAATTTCTGGTGTAACAATTCTGTTGGTCATTTGGGATTATAGATTTCTTTGAAGAATTTAGCAATGAGTAAACCACGTACATTTACAGTTGCACATTGTCAGGATTTATGTATCTAACAAAGGCTCTGAATTATACCTTCCAGAAGCATAGACTCAGGTTTGGAAGACACCAAAATTTACTAGATTCAAATCCTCATCATATGATGCAATCCTTTGGATAACTTTCTCATGTGGTTTCACTATGAATTACCCTTCACAAACTATCTTAGCAGTGTTAGCAACACCTAACAGGAACACTTCTGAAGGCATCACTTAATAGATATCCACCTTGAATATCCTTGCAAGTTATTGTAATTCAAAAAAATCTTCCATATTTGACTTTGCCAACACTTACACTCCCGTTTTACCCATTACATCTACAGGCTTATCCTAGGTCAAGTCTATATTCCCAAGAGAAGAAAAGCTTAGCCACAAAAAAAGCATCAGACCATAACTGACTTCCTTAGAATCTTCTTCATTTAGTAAGCTGAATTTCACTGTAGTGCCTCATCACTTGAGAGACTGGTTATGGCAAGAAACTAATTCTTTAACGTTTCTCTTTTCAGTTATTTGAAAAGTAACCCCAAACTTATGCACTTAAATTCCTTAGTTCTTTTCTTTATTACAGTACTTTTTACCTTACAAACCATATTTGCATATATTCTATCTCACTACATTCCCACAAAAGCCCTGCGAGGTAGGCAGGTCAGGAATTAATCCCTTTTTTTAAACAGATGCAACAATAAATCTGGGCCACTCAAGTGCCTTGCTCAAACTCAGACAGTAATTGATAGCACCAAGACTAAACCAGGTCTCCAGACACCAACACCAACACCCTTTTCATTACATCATCTTGCTCAGGTAAGGTAGCATTTTCCACTGACAAGAAAACTAAGAGCAATTGTTAAAATGGGACAGAGCACCAACAGCACGGTTAGTGCAGCTGAAAGAAAGGAAGTGGACTGGGGGGGGGAAGGAAGGTACAAACAACGTGAGGTGTGTGTCCAGGTTTGGTTCAGTAAGTTCTAACAGCCAACTGAGCAAATAAAAACACTACTTAGACATACTTCATGTTTAAAGAATGAGCATAATACCACCTAATTAATACTCACACCACCTCTACCAGCTAGTTAAGTATCATTATCTCAATTTGACAGATGGGAAAAGAGGAGAAGGAATAAGTGACTCGCTTATAGCTACAGAGAGAATATTTGTCAACAGATTATCACTACAGAAAATCTAGCGCTTTATGCAGAACAGCAAACCATACTTCTCTGGCAATAGGTAAACGATATGATAATTATATAAGAGCAACCACAGAGCTGAGGAAGGAAGGGGGAGAAAAAGGTTGTGTAGAGGGATACAACTGTAAATAAAAATTCAATCAATAAAATTGTGTTACAACACTGAGAAAGCAGCTGCTCAATAAGGCAAATATTTTCAAAGCAAACAAGTATTACAGGTCAGAGTACAGAGGTGAGGTGGGAAAGGTCAATGGGAATATATCATCTGGCCATGCAGAAAGATTTGATTCTTAATGATTTTAAAATCAAATAGTATGTTTAGGAAATGTGTTGTTGTTCAATTCAAGAATTAAGCCCAACGTAATAAAAAACAAAGATATGAAGAATGAATGACTAATGACAAATCAAGTGCTGTAAGATCATGGTTAAAAGGTAAAGTAAGTACATGTAAAGGGCACATGTGAAGATCTAAAAGAATTTATACTTACTTTAGTAGGTTAGATCTTATGTCAAAGACACTAAAAGCTGATGGAGGAGGGTAAGTGATATTTGACCTATTGTATATGTGTACATATAGAAAGAAGAGACATATACCAAAGATACTGCTTATTTAATCAATATAGACTTAAATATATATGTATATTTAGATATGTTTTAAGTATGTTGATACCAACATAAGAGATTTTACTATCTAATTTTTATAGAAAAACACGTCTATATACATATCTATAATTAAGGAGCACCACTCCCCACATTAGAGATGATTACTCAGTGGGAAGCAGTAATACAAATGAAAAAGGCTTCCCTCCCATATTAAGGAAAGGAGATAAAATAAGACTAAGTTATTTTTAGCAATAGGTATTTAAAAAAATAGTTTGTTTTTTGTTTGTTTTTTTTAGTAACACCACAGTTCAGAACAATAGTCAAAGTTCAAGGTCTTTAAGTCAGTGACAGCATCTCAGTGTCCATTTTCTGCTTGCTCCAGGGTTGTCTCGTTTTGCTTCTGTGTCACACGTAATCCTTCCCACTGGAAGGTGCAGGTTTGGGATATGGCCGTGGTGTTGGGTAAGATGTTGTTTTTCGGGGACAGGAGCAGCAAAGTAGGGCACCTCCCAGAATGCAGAGAGAAGCAGCAGCCCAGCCAGTGAAGAGAGCTGGACCAAATTCATACCTGAAGAGGAAAAGACAATGCATTTGCTCAATCAATGAATCATTGAAAACTTCTAAAAACATAATTAGAAATGTCATATTTTTCCCCCCAATGGAAATAATCCCCCATGATCCCTGGGGGAAGTACTTTCAGGTCTGTGCTCACACACACAAGAATGTTTGCATTGCAATTGTTGACGATTTGCAATAGCAGATCAGGCAACACAGCATGCAACACCAGGTTAATTACACAAATATTTCCAAAGACTTCCACGTGTAGGAGACTTGTAAAGCACGTTTATACACTTTAGAAGTCAGGTCTGAACTACAATTTCCAGACTAAAGCTTAACAAGTCATGTTATTACCAAGTTGCAATCACGTTCTATAAAGAAACTGCTCAAGTGATAGACCATTAGAGTTTTTAATAGTTGATCCCAGATACCTATTATCACTGAAATCTGAAATTTATGCTTTTGTAACAAAGACTTTTAAGCAGCTCTTGGAACATTCTAGATTAAGCTGATCTAAGTGTTGTATGAAGCCAGACTCTTGGGGAAAGGATCTATGACTGACGGATACTAACCAACAAGAGTAGACAAAGCTAGCTCTAGAGTGATAAGGCCTAGATTTGGATCCAGATGCAAACTCTCAACTGCTGCAACTGTGTGCTACTGATTTCACTTCTCAACCTCACTTTCTGCTTCCCTTAAAGGAGGATGATCCCACCTGCCTTGCTGGACAACTTTCATGATCACCTGAGACATGAAAATAATATGTGTATGGTGCCTAGCAACTTATAATAAGTGCTCTCGCATCCACTGCTGGTAAAATTTTAGCCTGCTGACCTCCAGCAGTTTCTGTCCCTGCATTGTAAATCTTATGGGATGGCTCCAGTACAATCATTGCGGTGTGTGTTCTCCTGTACGTGGGTGATTATATAAAAAGAATCACATCTTGTCTATCCAACCACTGGGATTTTCACCTGTTCATCCTAACACTCACAAACAATAATTACATCTTAACATCCTGACTTGGAATGTAGTTATTAGGCTTTAAAGACATGAACACAGTGAGACAAAGGGCCTTGTCCCTGACCAAAGAGTGTCATTACACGACAGCCAAGAATTAGTCCTTGAACTTCCACAACTTGCAGTATTAAGAAAGATGACCTTTGGAAAGTCAATTTTATAGTTCTGATAGAACATAAAATTTCAAAGTAGTATCACAACTTATTTTTTATAAACAAATTAAACTTTTTTTCATAAATAAAGTTAAACTATTGAGAGTGAAGTATTCATTAGGCCATAGAGTAGTACCATTTTTTAAATCATAATCTGTGTGCTAGTTACAAATAATCACAATTAAGTGTTATAAGTATCACAATATACTTCAGATAGTACATTCCAAATATATTAAAATCTTTATTATTATTTAAATAAAAACAAGAGAAAAGGCCTAGCACACAACTGCAAAGTATAAAGCTTGGAACTTTTCTACTTTAAATACGTTCTGTCATCAATATAGGCTGTTAAAGCAATTATCAAACTCACTTTAACATGAGTCACAGGCCTTTCAAATTATTTTCCAGTTTGACATAGAATTCTGGAAAGCAAATCTGGGAAACTGTGCCACTAGCTGGACTGTGCAGAACATAAAAAGGGTATTTTCTCAGAAAACAAGCTACTTTAACGTGAATAGCATTACCTGGCATTGACTGGGGTCATGGGGTCATAGAATTCTTGAACAATTCTATGGCCATACCATGCTGTGGCAACTAAAGCAGCCAGACCTAGAGAAATTCAAAACAAAAGACTGTTAATCACCATGGAACACTGAGCATGACTATACAGCCCATTACATTTATAAGGATTTTACAAGAATTAAATCTCATCAATAGTGCTGACATTTTTAATTTTTTCAATTTTAATTTGGACTATTTTAATTTAGGGAGATTAGAAGTACAGATCTGATTTATTCCAAGTAGTCTGTTAAAACGGATGAAAATAGTAGATCAGAGTGAGGCATAGTTTATTCTCTGTCATCTATTCATTTATAGTTTGTGGTCACTGGCACACATAAAGCTTTTTTGGAAACAATTCAGCAGGTTCATGCCATTTAAGATCTTCAAAGATACAGTTACACATCAGTGTACTAAACTACTTTTCATAAGATCAATGTCCTTATTACTGTAGATGAATCAAATGAAAAAGGGAAGAGGAATACCCTTCTACATTCTTCTTGACCAAACTGCCAAATTTACATTTCTGTAAGATCGAAAGGAAAGTAAGCGGTGGGACAGCAGGGAAGAGCAGGCCCTGTCTCAGAATGGACCAGCCCACCCAACTTTCTGCTGCTCCACTGGCCAGGCCTGCCAGGTGTTGCCTTGAGATGGCTGAGGCGCACATCACATACATTTATGCATCACACTCAGTTTTCCATACATTTCCTATTTCAGCAATACCAAAGAAACTACTTAGTCAAAACAATTCATTCCATCATTTGAAAGAAGTATAAACTATCTTGATTTTTCCAATCCAAAGAAAGTAAATAACTTCCTTTCGTAGTCATTCTAAGAAACCAACAATATAGACAGATTAAATCTTTCAATGCTTCATCCTCCTCCCCCTCAAAAGAAAAAGAGGTGATCTAAGCTAATTGCCTCTAATACTTGAGAGAAAACACTAGTGCTTTTGTCTGCTCAGATGCGCTGAGAATGCTCTAGGATGCCTGACCCCCGCTCCCTAGAAAATCCTTACACTGAGCTGGGAGTGATGCAGTCCCTTAGGGGAGTTGCAATAAGGCCGGCGAAGGAAGTGCTCTGCAGAACATTTATTCCCAGCCTTTGTGTAAGATTAAACTTCTGGGAATAAAACACCATTCATGGGTTTGTTTTTTGTGGGGAGATAATTTGGATAAACTGAAAGACTGGTGACTTTCAACTAACCAGATCTCTAGCAAAGCCACAGGCACTCTTTATTATTGGTTAAATCCACTAATTAGGCTGGGGCAAAAGCCCCTACCAGGTCTTTTGCCAAAAAGATGAAAAAAAAAGTCTAATTCTAGTTTCTCCTAGTGGTAGATTATATCACTGGTATTTTCAAACACAATAGACTATGATATATATTATGTGTAGTATATACTAATTTCAAAAATAGACCATATATGTAAAATACTACTTTATACACACAGATGCAATCTTATTTAAAATAAGCATTATTATAACACTGAAATGGGGCTGCCATGTCTTCTCTGGCTCTCATTTTCTGAAAGGTCACATATCTAGCATGAATCAACATTTCAATAAGGCAACAAATACATATTGGTTTTTTTAAGGCCTTTCTGTATTTTTTTAATTCTTAATGCATTTAACTTAATTTCCTATCATCCCAACATTCTACCTTCGCTCTAGTTGGCCTTTCTCTTCACTGATCTATGGGCACATCTGCTTTATTTTGCAACCAGACCTGCCCACCTGAAATGATGTTCTCATTTTTCTCCAATAATACCAATAGCATCCATTCCTCAGATGCCTGTGTGATTCACACATTCTTTATGTTCTCTCTTACTACTCTCCATCTTTGCCATATATTGTCTCTGGGATGCCACAGAAAGGTTCTATGTAAATAGAGTTGTTCCTTAGTGTTTGCTAGATAGAGATCTCTCTCTTCACCTGGGAGAACTGGTTCTCATAAACCGGTTGGCACCCGAAACCTCAAAGAATAGACCTGGCCACCGTGAGCACAGATACCACATTTTCACTTGGTTCCTCTTTAAGAATGTGAACGTCAGCTGGACGAAAGGTTTCTCTGTCTTTAGGTTTTAAAGGGACTGAAATACATCAATTCAAGTGCAAGAAATCCACCATCACTGAAGGAAGTGGAAAGCTAGATCTCAAACCATGCCAGAGGTAGTCTAGTAAGGTAAAACCATGCCAGAGACAGTTTAGAAAGAGGGGCAGGGCCTCGCTTACCTGCCGTAAGAAATATCACGCCTCCAATGACAGCCATCCGCATCTTCTGGACCTCATCATCTTCCAGGCACTTCATACACTTCATGCCAATAGTGGCCACAAAGATAGCTATTAGTCCCAACAGGATGCCAACCACCATCAAGGCACGGGTTGCTTGTAAAGTGCCTGGAAGAAAATATTTTAGACCATGTAAAAATAATCATGTGTAGACCAACAAGAGAAGAGTGGTAGACCAACAAGAGAAGAGTGGTAGACCAATATATTTCATGTTGTATGAAAGAAAGAAAATTAAACTAGGAGTCAGGAGACTCCAATTCTAGTAGGTAACCAACATGGCTTCTTCAGAAAAACAGTCAACTGGCTGGATATGAACTAGAAGCCCTCCAGCTCTAACAGTTTATGTTTTCAACATTAAATTCAAATTCCTCTGAAAGAATAATGATTTGGTTGAATAGGTTTAGCTGATCTAATACATCTTTAATCCTTATTAATGGAATATTTTAATTCTGAAATACAATCATATGTGTTATCCTTAATGTTAAACCATTTATAATGAAAATGGTTTACAATATATCTTGGTAATAGTAAACAGCTTTATACCCCAGCCATCAAGCTTCAGAAAAAACACAGGTGAATTTGGAAGATAAGAAATAAATTTCTCATAAATTATCATGGCTTAATAAACAGTATTTCTATCTTCAGTGACTGACATGATATGAATGCCATTTTCTAAGAACAATACTAAATAACCTTGCAATTGTTACTTTAGAACATAGTAGATTCACATTCAGAACCACCAGTTTTTACCACTACGCAGGATTCCACTAATTGTCTAATTTCCTGTTATTGTCATTTCATACTAAGTCATTACCACACCAATGGGGGCAGGTTTCAAAGATTATGCCAGCATGTTTCTTAAAGGGTAAAACCATGACACCATAATCATGGCAAGCGATGCTAGTGAGATGAGTTTGATCAGTTCTAGATTTATTTCCTCCTTCACACAAAGATCGTATCTCACTGACAGTGCTAACATGTAACAAGCATTTCTGCATATATAAATACTATTTATATCCTAACAAACCATGCTATTTTCAGTAAACTACTTATTATTCTTTGGGACCATGTTTCTATTATATACAGTCCGAGTGATGGTATCTCTGACCAGGGAGTTGAAACAACTGGCTTCTTGATGCTCTTCAAAAGCAGCTGACATGAGAGAAAGATTTCATATCTCACTGTCCAATTTAGACTGAGCTCAGTCTTGGTATTTTCAGAGTTGAGAACTTAAGTTACCACTCCTAATGGACACTAAGATGTCTAAAACATCATTGAATTTTATATTTTTGATATTTCCTTCCCTACCATAACCAACCTATGATAAAATCATAGTACCCTCGATCTAAGAAGTATCAAAGTTTTTTTTCCCTGTATTTGAGAGATATTTTGGAAGCCAAGGCACATTTTTACTTGATTGAATTAAAAAGCAAACCAGAGACACTCCCCTCTGCCCCCACACATCCACCTCTTCTTCATAAGTAGGTGTGAGCACAGATGCACCTACCTACACACTTCTCCTAAGACTCCTGCGTGGTATAAGAGCTGCTGAATCAAAACACAGTGGTTTGAAGAGGAAAGTACCAAGGACTTCACCGTGAGGGTGTGTCTTTCCTTCTGATGTACCAACAGTTTTTGCAAAGACAATCATTACTAAGAAGGAAAATTAAAATAACTAAGCTCTTATACACAACACAGATTTCAAATTCCATTCAGAAGGAAAACATTTCAAGCAAAGGCATATTGGTAGAGGAAATGCTGAAAGTTACAAAGGTGATCCACATGGCTGGAGGACAGGGTGACTGCCGGTCCATTTGCCTGGATTGTCTTGGTTTTTTTGTTTTGTTTTGTTTTTTTATCCTCACCCGAGGACATTTTTCCACTCTTTGTTCAGGTAGAGTGGGAGGGAGAGAGAAGAACAGAGAGAGAGAGAAACATCGATGTGAAAGGAACACATCGAGTGGCTGCCACCCGCACAACCGGACAAACTGCAACCGAGGCACGCGCCCTCAGCGGGAACCGAACCCGGGTCTCCCAGGACCGCAGGCCGACGCTCTAACCGCTGAGCCAAACCGGCCAGGGCTGGATTGTCTTGGTTTTAAAAGTACTTGTCCTACACAGACACTAGTGTGGAGAAAGCCTGGGGTGGGGCGGGGGCTGGGTGAAGGGAGGCAATAGGGTAAAAATGGGGGATATCTGTAATACTGTCAACAATAAAATATAAATAAAATAAGTAAAACTACTTGTCTTACATCCAAAGAAGACCCTTGATCCTGGACCAACTGGGACAGCTGGTCACTCTACTGGAGGATGATAGGATGTGCAAAGTAAAACAAGGCAGGGCTTTGCAAGTTAGGGTAAAGAGTTTGGAGTTTATTCTAAGTGCAATCATAAGTCACCAGAGGATCTTAAAGTGGGGGTCGGGGGAGGATTTTTACCCTGGGTATAGAGAGCACAATCAGTCAGAATTCTTTCTATGCTGGCCCTTTAAATATGCAGAACCTCCTACAGCTGTCAGCCACCTCCTCTTTGCTCTCTCATAAATACTCAGTTTTCTAACTCTTTATTCATTACTTCTGTTTCTTTCTCTGATCTCTCTCCAAGCTTTCTACCTTGTTGAAGTTGTAGGGCCTCAAACCAAACCCAGCTTCCATAATAATCATTCTGGTGTGCCCTTCACATAGAAACAGCAGGCCACCCGCCCAGCAGGTCCGAGCACTCTGATCACAAGGTGTTCTTCACAAGGAGTCTGCTGGGCCTGTCTCATGAGTCAGGTTTGTAGGAAGCCATGCAGGCAGGGAGCACACATGGATGAACTACTTCAAAGCTCCCCTTGTGCTCACCTGGAATGAGCTAAGATTCAGTTTTGATCGCTAAGTTTTTTCTCTTTTAAGTTTCCAAAGGAAACACATTTGATTCATGCTGTACCCATTTTATTCTCCCACTTCTTTTACAAAGTTTCCGTGGGGGAGAGGACAAATCCTGGTGTGTTTTATGTCCCTATAGAATAATGTCTTGCTTGATGCACAAAAACAATGGAGAACATTAAAACAAAACAAAACAAACAAACAAAAAAACTTTAATTAGGAGTCATAAACTCTATAGAGCAAGGGATTTGTGTTTCATTTTTTAAAAATCTGATAAAGCAACAGTGCTTTTTTACAAAGCAATAGTTTTTCATTTCGGTCCTTGGCATCCATTGACTCAGGATACATCCTTGTATTGTACAACACTAAGTGGGCATCAAACACAAAATCTCATCTGGCCTCATTGGAGACGTTTAGATTAATTCTTAACTATTGTGATGCATGTAGGAAAATGTAAAAATGTGAAGGAAAGAGGCTGAGAATCACAACAGCATAAAAACTCAGTAGCTGGGCATATGTAATGATGGATTAAAAATCAAAGTAAGCAAGTGTGTTAGAAGTTATGAGGGTTTTATGTGCAGGTAGAATCTAAATTTCACAGTTTTAAGCTGGAACCAGGTGGATTCTTCAAATTAATGTCTACGAAAGTATTTTAAGTCAGAGATCTAAAATATATCACTGTGAGCTCCTTGATGACTTGGGTCAAATATTTGTTCATATTTCCATCCAAAGAACTAAAAATGGCACCTGACAGGCTATGGTACCTAAACAATCTGTGTTCAATGAATTTAAATTAAAACATGTTTTTATTCTTTACAAATTCTAATATTAGAATAGATAAAAATACTATCTTGTGTTAAGCTTAACCATTGGGGAAAAATGTACTGAGAAATGCCTCACTAGAGTCTGTGCATACAAACATTTAACTACATAAAACCAGACTCAGTTTAGAACATTAAAAGCTAATAACTCATACAGGGAGGAAACATTCATATATTTTCCTTAACCAGACTTATTTTTTTAATTTTCTAAAATTTTAAATTATATATTTAATGAGCTTTCAAGGAGGTCCCAGGTTGGGACCTCCCCCCCCCCCCCCCCCCCCCGGCAGTAGAATGACGATCAGCAGAGCAGACAAGTTGAAAAGGGTGTTTAAAAGCTACAAAATAGCCCTGGCCGGTTTGGCTCAGCGGTTGGAGCGCCAGCTTGCGGTCCTGAGAGACCCGGGTTCGGTTCCCGCTAAGGGCATGTACCTTGGTTGCAGTTTGTCCCCGGCTCTGGTCAGTCGTGCGGGTGGCAGCCACTCGATGTGTCCCTTCACATCGATGTTTCTCTCTCTCTCTTTGTTCCTCTCTCTCCCTCTCACTCTACCTGAACAAAAAATGGAAAAATGTCCTCGGGTGAGGATAAAAAAAATAAAATAAAAGCTACAAAATAATATTTTGGACCAGAGAGGTACAGCATAGCCTTTGACTATTCACTCAGAGCCAGTCTGATTAAATCAAATCTAGAAGCAAATATGTTCCTTCTCTAGCTCTTTACATTTGCAGATACCTCTATAATATCATCACTAAGTAAAGTCATCTGCGGAGAAAATGGTTAACAAACATTGGCCACCTATTGTTTCTCATCGTTATTCAGCAATATGCGGAGAAGGCAGTCTTTTAATTATACTCAGCTAGACTGATAATCTTGGAGATGAAAGACTCTCTGAGAAGTTCTTACCACTTGTAACCTGAAAGTATAATTTGAAAAAATATTTTAAAAGATCTCTACTTACAAGACAAGAAATGAGTTAGAAGTTACTGATCCACCACAGTTAGGTTAATCAACATAGTGGAGCAAGACAAGCACAGACAAGTGGGATTGTATTTTTCTGAAGCTTTTCTCAAGTTTTACTGTACAAGAAGCAGAATCTTTTTTAAACACCTGACATTGTTCATGCTATTTATTGGCCATATGATTACATTACTACACTGTGTATTCTATATCATAAACAAGATAGATTTTAAGTATATCTACATCCTCACATAGTCCCACTTTGCATCAGTGGTTGCTTAATAAGTAATAAAGAAATCGATGAACTGAACATTGGGTCAATGGAATAAAGCTGCTTTCATCTCCTCTGCAATGAAATGAGCTCATCACAGAACTATATTCCCATGGCCTTTTCACTTGCTAAATCTTGCTTTTACTTAAGTTCAAAGTTAAGTGTCCTCATTGTTAGCATTTCCATTTTATTGATGCATAAGATGGTGGCCACTGGGTATGACCTCAGGACACCAGCACAGTCAGAAACTGAAGTGATCTGGGATGAGGCAGGACTTTCCACTTTTCTAAATGTCCTAAGCAGTTTTCCTTCCTTCCTTCCTTCCTTCCTTCCTTCCTTCCTTCCTTCCTTCCTTCCTTCCTTCCTTCCTGCCTTCCTTCTTTCTTCCCTTCCTCTTCCTCTCCTCCTTCCCTCCCTCCTTCCCTCCCTTCCTTACTTCTTTCCTTCCTCCAAATAATTGTCTCATAATGACATTTATGTTTCTATATTTCCTCTATGCCACTTACCACTCCAAACAAAGAAACCCAACCTGTGCCACCTAACTTTTTCCCTTCAGTCACTGCAATTAGTAACAAAGAATGTTGGTACCTGAAGAAATCAACTTGAGTACCTCATATATCACCTTAGCTGCATCTCTAGGAGCAAGACAGCTCACGTTTGTGGAAGGGAAGAATGAATCATGGATCCATCTCGTTACTCCCCTCACATTGCCCTATTTTATAAGTGGGGGAACTCTAGCCCAGAGAGACCAAGTGGCTCACCATTATACACATGACTGGTTAGTGCAAAACCAGGGTAAGAATTAAGAACTTCTGATCTCAAGCCTGGATTTGGTTTTGACTTCCATCATTCCAGGAGTCATAACTAATGCTTGAAACAGACCTGAACACCAATGGCTCCTGGAACACCCTTGGTTTAGACGCATACTACAGTCTGGAGAAGTGTAAATGGGTGCCCTTTTCTCTGCCTATGCTTCAAAGTCTGTCCAAGTTAGTGATTTTGTCTCTTTAATTGAGCCTGACATCATGGTGAGAGTGCTGGGAAACCTCACGGACAACCAATACTCATTAAGCACTCCTACACACATGTGTATTCATGCAAAGCAAGTTGAACAGGCTAGAGGAGCTTATAAACAAATTACAGAATCCCAAGGTTGGATGTGACTTAGAGAGTCTAGTCTAACCTCCAATTGTCTGGTGCTTGTATTTTCCCTACAACATTCCAACAAAATGCTTACTTAGTTCTCTGCTTATCTACCTCCTACCATGCAGCCTCCTAGGGAAACCCAATCTTTGGACACTGCTAGCTATTAAAGCCAAACAAGAAGAAGCAATTAACTAAGCACACAAAATAAACACTAGCTTGCTAAAAGTTTGAGAAGTGGATCAGAACATGGCAAGATGTACCGCTTAAGCCAGAAAAGTCTACTCTATTAGTATCTGCCACTCTCCTTTGTACATTCCAACTTTCAGCTGCAGGCATTATCAATGTCAATAAACATCATGTACTTTGGATGGAATTGAAGTGGTCTTAGCCAGTGTTAGAACTAAAATGCACAGCGCAACATTTGTTTCCCCAGGAAGTGTCTCAGTTACATTTTCATAAACTGCTCTGCAAGAACCACCTAAAAATCAAACAAACAAACAAACAAACAAACAAACAAAAACCCTGCATCTTTCAGTTCCTATATTGGTTTAAGCACACAGTATCTCTTTAGACACTTATGGAATTATTCTTTTTCCAGCTGACAGTATGTAGAGTGGGAGAACAGGGCTCTTAACATGTTTAGCACTACAACCTTGATTAATCTGTGTATCTCCACCCTAAGAGTCCAAGTAGGCTCCATTGGCAAAGAGAACAAAATTCAATTTCAGGAAACATCTAGCCAAGCTTTTCACCCAAAAGCACTTCAAGGAATGCAGCCTTTTACAAGGAAGTCTTCTTATAACTACAGATGATCCTGTTCACATTTAGAGGTGACAAAACTATACCAAAACCAGTCAATGAATCACCACCCCAGGTCTCTACATCAGGTGGGCGTGAGCACCATTGCCCAGGTGGAGAAATGGAGACAGGTTCTTTGGGCTCCATCCAAAGGCATCCTATGAGTCATTTGCAGGTTGAAGAGAATACCTGTGCGTCAAAGCTCCCTCTTCTGGGAATTGGTTTTGAGAGAAAGGCATCAGCCCCACCTTGAATAACCTCCAGCTTTAACCAAAACCAAAAGAGGAATCTGATCTGGAGTGATATATAGAAATCTCCAAAATGTGTACTGGGGAGAGGAGGAGCACATTGTTTAATTCTTCCATGGTAACTCCAAAAACTGTAATAGCTACAGTAACTAAGAATAAATGAAAATCAAACATTTTGCCATGTTATCGCAGGTAGGGATGGCCTGTTTGAGCATTTGCAATGTGAATCAATCTGATCCCATTGGTCATTTAAGGAAGTTAAAGGAACACCTGTTTAAACAGTTTGAAAATGAACTATTTGGATACAAGGAATCAGAGACCTCTCTAGAATTGTCCTTAGAACCTTCTCCATCTGCCTGTTCCTTAACGTGATACCCCAGAATCCTGACACCATCTGTATTTATCTTTCCATGGGGAAAGTCAATGACTATATAAAGGAGTATATCTAATATATTTCTTACATTTGGTATAAAGAAATCCTAAAATGGGAACTTTGAAAAGCTAAAATGACAACACTCAAAACCACCAAGAACACTGACTAACCAAATTCCACAGGTGTTCAAGGCATCGAAACAGATTTGGAGCAGATTTAATAACCCGAAAGTATATGGCTTTTCACAAAACCACATGAGGGAGCTGAACAAAGCAACTGAAGTAAACTTGAGCTAGGACAACACTGCTCCCCCTCAGCCCATTAAAGGGGCTGGTGGGCAGGCTGGTCTATCTAGGCAAAGACTGCGGAAGCTTTTCTTCAAGTTCGAGGGCATTACAGACCCATGCAACATGAAAACCAGTGTAATATCTGAAGGAAGATACTCCAGCCGTACATGTCTATTACCTAGGTATGTGGGAATTTAATGAGTTTCAGACAAGGCACTCCAAAGCTTTTATTTAAAAAATAATAAAAGGGAAAAGAGCCATCCTGTCATCCTCCTCCCCACTACCCTTAGGAATATTTCTCTCTACTAATCCTTTTCAGCTGGACGGAAATAAGGAGCAAACGTCCATTACGCAGAAAATTGCTTCCGGAAGATGGAAACTAGCAGAGAAGACTCGCCCTCTTCCTTCTGCCTTCCTACTCCAGGTGGCCTCTGCTGTCACTAGCGTTGTCTCTTCCATGGCACTTTGCTCAGTATCTCCATTCTCCCCTTCAGATCACAATGGGAAGTTATTCAGAACTTTTCTTTTCGTTATCATTTTCCTACCTGCCACCAACCTTCACTTTCCAAAATAACCTACAAAACCTGCCTCCTCTGAAGACCCCTGACTTAAAAATGTTCAGTGGAATCTCAGGAGGCTGCTTCAAAAAGTCGTGAAAGGGGGTACAAAGCCTCCCTCCCCCACTTACTGGATCTTAAATATCACAAGAATAAAAAGATTCAAACTTAAATGTGAGGAGAAAGCTCTAAGTTGCGGCATTCCATGTGGGAATGTGACTTTTTCTATGAAAAAATCACAGTAAAGATAGATTGGGGGAGAAATCATCGAAGACTTTGAGATTACCTATTTAGTTTTACAAACCTGAGAAGCCACCAGGCTCTAAACTTTTCAAAGCATTCCATTTTCTTGTCCAAACCCTACCATGCTTCAGTTCACACAGAATCTTAGCATGTCCAGGAGAGGCCTAAGAACTCAAGTTCAAGTTTGGCCTTCACCTCCCAATCCCCACCTCATTCTCATTGGAATTTAAAATGAAACCACACCTAGAGGAAGAGAAAAAGTGTTACCCAGGGAATTTGAGGCGCATTTAGAGCTCAGCCCTGAGCCTTCCTTTTTCCAAACCACAGTCCTCTCTACTTTCTCTCGACATCGATCAGAAGAGTTGATCAACTGACGATTGATAATCACATGTAATCACACAACAGAATCAGCTGATAGCCATTACCCCAAAACAGAGCCACTGAGGAGTTGGGGGTCTTGGATCGCCGCTGTGGGGGAGGGGAAAAGCACTCACTGTTCAGATTCAGCAGGGAGTCGAAGACTTTGCACTGGATCTGCCCCGTACTCTGCGACACGCAGGACATCCAAAGCCCCTCGTAGATGGACTGGGCTGTCACGATGTTGTCGCCCGCATAGGAGTGAACCTTCCACTGGGGCATCGCTGTACTCACTATGGCTCCAATCCAGCCCAGGAAGGCCAGGATGAAGCCCAGTAGTTGCAGCCCCGCGTTGGCCATGGTTCACTCGGGCTCCCCGGCTGACTCAGGGGTGGCAGGTGCAGCAGATGGAGTTTGTAGAGGCTCACTCGGAGCTCCCGGGGCTGGCGGAGCCGCGCAGACGAAGTTAGTGCAGGGAATCCTGCTCCCTGCGCCGCCGCTGGAGAGACTGTAGGTCCGGGGCCAGATCCGGGTTGGTGCTGGAGTTGGGGTGCGAGAAGCTGCGGCTGCTTCCAGGCTCCGGGACTGAGACGCCAACCTGTGGGGCGCCGCAATTTAAAGCAGCTCCGCCCTCCGCCCTCCGCCCTGCGGTCCAGCCCGGCCCGGCCCGGCCCGGCCGCCGCGCAGCGCCCCCTGGCGGTTTCAGGGCGGCTCGCTGGGGAAGCGGGCAGCGGGCGAGCCCGCGGTGGCCCCGCGCCCTGGGCGGAAAGGTGCGGCCGCGGTGTTGGGAGGACCTGAAAGGGATCAGGTACGCAGGGTGCTCCAGTGCTCGCTCCTTCTTATTTCTCCCCCAGCTCTTTTTTTCTCTAGTTAGCCGTCTCAGGCCCTCCATTCATTCAATCTTTATTTCCCCCCAAATTACCCTGTATGTGAAAACACTGAAAATGCAAAAGATGAAAAGTATAGAGCCCTCATAAGACCCAAAGCTCCGTTTTTAACTTTTTTCCTTGTCTATTAAAAGGTATATCTTATCTACCCCACTCCACTCCTCCCTTTTGTTCAGCTTCCTCCCTCCCCCTTCTCCTCCCCTTCCTCGGCCCCTCTTCTCCTCAGGGACTCTCCTAGAACCATGCATTTCTGCAAGGATGGTAAGAAGTCATTCTATTTTATAGAATGGGAAACGGAGACCCAGAAAGGAAACATAATTTCTAGAAAATCACACTGCAAGTTAGCAGCATATCTCAGTACTTGGTTCTCAGCCCACTCTGCTTTTTACATCTCAACTTGGCTGAAATATATGTCCTTTAATTTATTATCGTATCTCTGAAAATGCAGCCTACCCGCCCCGCCCCCAAACACACACGCACACCAGCCTGGTCCCCACAGCAGTTTGTCTTAGAGCAGCAATTCATTATAGAAGGGACCAGGACGGCCCTGGCCAGCTTGGCTCAGCGGCTAGAGCCTCAGCCTGTGGACCAGAGAAAGAAGGACCAGGACAATGCTCAATGCACAACCCCCCACCCTGAAGTGTTTCATTAAGAATTATCAGATGTTATTCATCAAAGGCAAGAGCATCTAAAAAGTCTTTCCCCAGTAGAAATAGGACTGGGCTGGGAGGTAGGAGGTCTGGGTTCTGACTGGTTTTGCAGTGACCGTTATGGTTACCCCCTCAGGTTTTACTCTAGTTGAGCCTTTTTTCCCCCTCCATGGGTCTCTAAAGCTTCCTTCTCTGTATTTAAGTGGTGTTGTGGTTTGGAATAATTAAAATGTTTTCCCAACTGTTTTTTGTGTGTGGTGTGAGTGTGGTGGAGGAGAAGCTTCTATGGTTTTGTTAAAAACAGACTCACCTTGGAGGCAGAAATAAACATGGTAAGGAGAAAACAAGATATGCCCTAATATTTACCATGAGAGTTGCCAGTTTGTAACAAGGAGGGAAACGTGAAGGGTTCAGGGTGTGAGTAAGAAGAATGAAAAAACCGACTATTTGGGGGATGTTGAGAATGAGGGAGGCTATGTATGTATGTGTGGGGGCTAAGAATGCATAGGATTCTTTGTACCTGTGTCCCAATTTTGCCGTGATCCTAAAACTGCCTTAAAAAGGTTATTTTTATTTATTTATTTTTCATATTTGGTTAATTTATTTTTGTTATAAATGTTTCTCCTTTTTCCCCCCTTAGACACCCTCCTCCCCATCCCGCCACCCCACCGCCCTAGCATTGTTGTCTATGTCCATTGGTTATGCATACATGCACATAAGTTCTTTGGTTCATCTCATCCACCCCCCCACCCCCCTACTCTGAGGTTTGTCATTCTGAACTATACTTTCAATGTCTCTGGGTCTATTTCATTCATAAAGAGTCTATAAATAAAAGTGAAAAAACAAAGACCCCCACACTCCACCAGCCTCAGTTCCACCTGGCTATCTCCAGATAACTTCTGAAGGCTTATATTCAAAGGACAGTCTGCAGAGACATTTGGGGGCTAGCAATGAAGAGGGGAGCACATGTGCTGAATGAAGAGATCCAATTAGGGGTAAGCAAGATTAAAACAAGTGGATGCTGTCCTTCTGAAAGCCTCCCCAGACCCTAAGGAAGGCTGTTAGTCAGCTCTGTAGCGCAAGGCTGCATCCGGGCTGAGTCTAGGCCCGAAGTCAGTTTTTCCTTTTAGGTTCCCCCTGGATGTCCTGTGGATGGAAAAGTATCCATCACATTGCATTTATTATTCTCCAGGATTACTGAGCTCAGAGGAGGGTCTCAGAATTTGCAATTGGGCTAGACCCCTACCATGTGAATCATATAATTTTATCTTTTTATTGTTCCAGCCAATTCAGAATTTAGAATATTTTTAAAACATTTTTTTCTTTTTTTTTTTTAAATGGTGGTAGCCTTTTAGATTTGGCATATTTATTTATTTATTTATTTATTTGGTATGTGCCCCTAGCGGGAACTGAACCCGGGACTCTCTGGTCCGCAGGCCGATGCTCTAACTGCTGAGCCAAACCAGCCAGGGCTAAAACATTTTCTTTGTTGCTCAGATTGGATTAATGAAGACAAGATTTGAGTTCAATAAATATACTTGTATACAGAGCCTTTTAAAAGGCGAAAGATTTATGTGATCTGAAGAGAAACTAGAGTATATACAGGGCCTTTTAATCTACATTAGGGCCTGTTTCTATCAACCAGAAGTTGGCAGGGAGTTGGAGGGATGAATTCTGCGGTCACTATGGCCCGTGTTTTTGTTTTTATTCATTCCAGGTCTCTCTGAGGCTGGTTACTTCATCGCCCACAACCATGTTTGTAAGGCTGCGGTGGATGCTGATTACCCTGCTGTGACCCATGCCCATCTCTGGCATCCCTAATTCTGTCTAGTTTTCTGAGAGCAGATAGGTGAGAGAATGACTCATCATAAATCTATGAACTGAAAAGGAAAAACAACTTACAAACATTGGCCTTTCACATAGGATGCATAAACAATAGAGATAGCACTGTGGCCAAGAAGCTTCTAGAAAGGCTGACAATAGTAGGGCAAATGTCCTGCCTGTGGAATAGGAAAATCTGCTATGCACGCTCAGATAAATTACTTCCTTTCTTTTTTTCAGTTTTGCTATTAATAAAAATTAGAAGTTGACTTCGAAAATGTCACCTGAGTCTAAAGCTTTATGACTCTAAGTGATAATAGCCGACACATGTGGGTATCACACTGTCCTCACCAAGTGTTGAGCTACGAGTTTTATATGCACTGTCTCCTCCCATGTGAAGGTGACAGAGCCACAGAGAGGTCAGATCACATTCCCATGGTCATGTTCGGCATTTGGCAGCATGGGATTCTGAACTGTACACTTTGACCCTGGTGCCCGTGCCTTGAAGCCCTGCCCTACAGTAGTTCCCTGTGTGAACCAGATCCATGGAGGGCAATAGCTGCTAGGGTGTAACCACTCTCATCAGGGGTTTCTTCCTCCAGGCAGTGGTGAGATGTTCCACTCTGTGACTGTCCTTCTGCTCCTTCCTGTCACTTCTTAATTTCTGCTGCTGGTACATCAGGAGGGTACACAATCATGTGAGAGAGTGTTGCTGCCGAGGAGGGAAGTATGGGTGAGAACAGCACATGGCTCACTGGTTTACCTCGTGTCCATGTGTGACCGATGCTTGGGCTCAGCCTTGAACCTGAGAACCAGGAAAAAGTAGAAGAGATACTCAGAGACATGAAAGTACAGATGAGGCTCCCGGTGATGGAACAGAGTGTAGACAAAGAAACACAATCCCAAGAGCCAGGCTGGCAGATTCTCAGATATAGTTAAAGATAAGAGTAAGAAAGCCTTTGGCAATGCATGTTAACATTGACTTTTTCGGGTGTAAAAGCAGAACGGATGGGCACATGTCCTAGTAAACAATCTGCAACCTGCCATGTAATTATTTAGGGCTTGAAAGAGGGATGAAAGTACAAATGTAAAAATTTAACATGGATTTCAGTATTAGAATGTGAGGGTTACTAAGACTAAAAAACACTGGTGTAGGCTGTCATAACTACTTGAAACAGGCCTTTGACTCTCTTTGGCATTTTTGAGAGGGTAGTGAGATATGAGTAGTTACAGTACCAACTTTTTGAACCTTATTTCTATCATTTACTAGCAGAGTAACCTTGCAAAATTGGTACAGCATTCTTGTGCCTTAGATGTTTCCTTTTTTAAGTAAGTAAAACTCCCTTCATAATGTTGTGGTAATTAAGCAGGTTGAAACCTGTGCATCACTTAGAACAGTAGCTGGCTCATGCAAGCACGTGGAATGATAGTTATTGTTTCAAGCAGAACAGATGCATTTACTCTACTAATCCTGCCATTTACAAAATGATCCTCACGTTTGTTCAGAAAGACTCTTTCTTGCCTTGATTCTTTTAATGGATGCCATAGTTAAATCATGGTGACAGATTATGCAGTGTTTCTAGCAAGGAAGTGCACTTTTGTGTTTAGGGGGGAAAAAGTCAGCAATGAGAGGGGTGGGGGCTTTCGATGAGATTTCTAGGCCTCTTGTCCAGGTCCTAAACAGGTGCCCCCTCCAAGTTCTGTGTAGTTTCCATTGGCTGGGATTAAAGGCTCTTTCTGAGATGGGGCGGACCCAGAGCACAGGAAGGACTGAGATATGGTGCCAAATGGTTTTCTCTGCAGATCAGTGTGGCTCTTCAGAGGGCCCGGGGAAAAGTCCATAGTGTAAGATTTTTGTTAAGTCTCTGCCTCATTATCAGGTGGACTTTATAAAGGCCCTTTAGACACCCTCCTCACTCCTAGCCTATCAGATCTATCTCTTTAGAAACAAAAGGGGAAACAGTAGAATTTCAACCATCAAAATCTACTTTTTAAGTTATCAAATTATACTACAAAGCTATGGTAATCAAAACAGCCTGGTACTGGCACAAGAATGGGCATATAGATCAATGGAACAGAATAGAGAACCCAGAAATCGACCCAAGCCATTATGCTTATTTAACATTTGACAAAGGAGTCAAGAACATACAATGGAGTAAGGGAAGCCTCTTTAATAAATGGTGTTTGGAAAATTGGACAGGTACATACAAAAAAATGAAACTAGACCACC